CCTGAATACTTATTACACATTTCAGAACATGTCCTTGCATAACACATGACTGAGAACATCATAAGACTTTAAGTTATTCACTATATCTTAGCTTACAGCAAATGTTTAGCACAGTACAAGGAATGATTAACACCAGTGGTAAAACTAATAGAGTCATGAGTTCAGTAGCTGTAGAACTTCATCCAGAGTCAAAACAGATTGTCAAAAACATCCATCTGAAGCATCATGCCCTATCTGGGGAGTAAAACTGTCCTGGAGCTGTGCTCAGATCCAGTAGCAGCATCAACTGAGTTCTGAACCTTTTTACCCTGTCATTCCACTCCTTAGCTCACAGTTCTTGATCTTTTAAGGGTTTTTTGCTCCATTTTATCATATTCCCCTTCTTTTCTTTCACAGGCCCCAGCATGTATGCCTATAGCACAGACACTTTCCCTATGCACATGATATTCTAAGATTAATCACACTCCTGGACTCCTTGGCTTGCTGATAAACTCATGCCTGTCTCCTGGCATGCTCCTTCCAGTGCAGTACGTACAGGTCAGTCCTTGAACAGAACAACATCCCACAGGGTTACCAGGCAATACCAAGTGCACTAGTGACTCTGCCCAGCCCTCAGAGCTTTCAGAGTATGTTACTCTTGACCACCACCTTTTCGGAGTCTTTCTCCACTTGCCTGTAATGACAATTCAACAGTCCATCAACTACAGTTGATTAGCCCCTTGGTCCCAGTCCCTCTGCAAGGGTTCTTCATTTGCAGCATTGGCAGGATCTGCCCATCACTCACCCAAAGTACCCCTGCATGAGCTGACCCCAAAGTCTTCCTCCCTCAGTGAGGGCAGTGACTACAAGAGGCACAGGGCTGATTGCCTCCCACACAGCGCACCCTGCAGCCCTCCTCTGTGGAAAGGTTGCCTTTTGTACCCAATGCTATTAGCAAAAATATTCTAAACCAACATGAGATAATGTCTGACGGTGGGGTTAGTGACTGTCAGGGGGGAGGTAACTCACAGTAGGAGGTGCACAGCATCGAGGTCAAATTCAGCCCTCAGAGGCATCACTCAGAATCAGTAATGATTACTTCAGCTGGGCAGTGTTTCGGTCAAAACTGTCAGATAAAATCTTATTAAGAGTCTCTGCTGGGATATTAGGCCTGCCTTGCATTGCACAGAAAGTATTTGTAGAGAACATGTGAAAGGATCACATTTATTTTCACCAACCTATGATAAGATGGCAAATCATTTCTTTTTCTTATTTGTGGCTTTGTCAATCATAATTTATTCAGTAAAGACATACATTAAATGACTTTCCTGTGTTATACAGAATAGCACCAAGCACATCATTTTAACCCTATATATTACAGTCTGTAAATTCCTCATTAACACACTTTTCCCTGTTCACTCCCCCATTTCTATCGATGCTTTATGGAAGGGCTTGAAGTAAGGATGGAGGAGGCAGGTTACCAGAAGTCCCATGTCATGAACTTGATCACAACCTAACTAGTCCCTGCACACTGTTCTAGATAATCACAGTAATATGATATAGCTAACATTTTTTTAATTATTCCAGACTTTTTCCTTCTAAAACCAAAATTTAAAAGAGACAAATTGTAGGGAAAATATAAATCATTATGCAGTTTTGGAGCTGTTATTTGCTGTAAATTAATTCCTGTTTATTGTTTTTCTATTAGTCATATAATAAGGCAAAATCATAGAAAAAGCCCACATAGCCTTTATGACCACTCTCTGAATTACTAATGAACATCTTATTAAATATGTGCATAAATCTAACCTCAAAGCATAAAATAACACACTTAATTTTCTTCTGATGGTTCAGAGCCTGCTGACAACAGAAGAAACAGCTTCTGCTAATTGCATCACCTAACAGAATTTCTCTGTTCTCACATGACCTTTTCTTGGTCACCCATTAGTACTTCACTATAGTGAAAAGTGCCAGTGTGCATAGAAAGGGAGACTTGAAACCGCTGTTTGCAATTTGCTAGTGGCATCTCTCACAGCCACAAAAGTTGGGCTTTGAGATATCTAAGTGTTGGTGAACACCAGCACCTTGATGCCAGGCTTTGTTATAGGGAGATTAATCAGAAAAAAATATGGTTATCTGGGGTATTATTTAAGAACTCAGGACACCAAAGATATCAAAAACATCAGGACAAAAATGACTTGCAGTTAATATGAGACATAGGATGGGTGTAGCATAAAATATTCCTATGAATATCAAAAATAAAAGGATAATGGAGGAAAGTCTAGGCCTGTTACCAAAAGGAAAAGGGAAGCATTAACTCAAAGAATAATGCAAAGTTCAATGACTGCTTGGTGTTAGTCCTCTCAGAAATGGAAACTCTGATCTGATGTCTAAGGTGATTGATTTGAACAACTGAATATATGTGAATTGGAAAGGAACAATTTAAAGAGTATAGGGAGTCATGTGAAGTGGCAGGGTATAACCTACACTGGTGTGGTTCAGAAATCAGGAGGAGAAATCTTTGCTTTGTGAAACCAAGAAGAATGGAGACATCTCAGAACTCTGGAGAGGATAAAACACAATACTTATATTTTAAAAAGGCACAGATAGCAGTACCCAGGGAATATATTATGTATATTAATACCTGGAATTAAATACCTGGAAATCATGACAACAAAATATTAAATAACCAGTATATCCACATATGGAGGATAATAAAGAACCAGGTAATTCTGAACTACCAATACACACTTGTCAGGATTGAGGTTATATTGGACTAACTCAATCTAGTTTAATGGATAAAGCAAAAGCATATACAGGTTTCAGAGGGGCTTTTGGTATTGTCTGATATTTCATTCTACTGAAATATGAACAAATAAAGTCACATAAAAATGCACCATAGATGCATGTGCTATACTATACCTGCAAAGGCTCAAACAAAAATAAAATTTCTAACCCAAGCATTTACTACCCGCACTAGTTGCTTATATCTAGAAGAAGAAAAGAGTACATAAATCAGAATATTACAAATGCTGCACAGCATGCACTGCAGATGGCATTTACTGTCAGTATAAAACAAATAACTCCATATCCAGTAGACTTAGAAGCTCCAGTTAACCAGTATTAATAAAAGTAGGGGTTACTGGAGGCATATCTACAGTGTGAAGTGCTGGGGTTCCACCAACCCTTTCTCCAGATGCTGGTTGAAAACCATCAGTAATCAAAGGGTACAGGTGTCCCAAGACTGAGGTGGTTCTAACAATGGCAAGGCTAATAAAACGTGTTCCTGCATTTAGATATGGGCTTGAAAAGTTGGTGTTTTGGAAGGGTGAACCTGGAGAATGAGAATATGTCGTTACCCATCTTAACACAAATACTGTCCCTTGCTCAAGTTATGAAGGGTTGGATAGGCGTATTGCTGATGTTTTGTGCTTATTAATCCATTTTAAGTTGCCTTGTTCTTCAAAGTTCTCAATCTCACTTTCCTGTTTTATTCAGTTGACCTGTCCTATCTGACACCCCTGTTGAAAATTTTACATCACGGAGAGATTCTCCTGCTTTACTGTACTTACTAAGATATGGTCTTCACCTTTGCTTTTGATTTCAGACACTGCACTGTTTTATTAATACAAAGTACACAAAATACGACCACCATTTTTCAGTAATTCTGTTACCAACAGCCAAATGTCTATATGCATATTAAGCACTGACACTTATCAACCAACAAGTCCAGGAACCAGAATACAAACGAGAACCCCATCCTTTCAGGAATAACAAATGTGCCCCTTTTTACTGCCAACTTACCAGCTGACTAGGACAAGTGTCTTAATTAAAACTACATTTGAAAAGCTTCCAAACTATAATATAAATGGTGGTACTTTGAAGACCTGGAAAAAGATAAACAGTATTTCTGTCACCCACTCCATAGACGTTATATGAACAGATCTGAGAATCCAATTTTGCATTTGGATAATATCTCAGCATTCATTATCCAAGATCACAACAACAAAAACACGGTTATTTTGTCAGTACTGAGTGATGCTGCACACTCAACTTCTGTTCAGTTTTGGCAACATTTAAGTGCCCATCTGACATTTATGCCCATACATAGGTCCCTGTAAAATCTCAAGCTGTTCTGACCTGTAGAACATTTACAGTACAGCACCTGGTTTTCACTCTGTGCTCTTGCACCCAAGCTGGCTGACTGCAGCCTGACTGCAGACAGGTCCTGGCTTACGTGATGGTCACCATCTCTGCCAGACTGCCAACCACCCACTGCACACCTATCAGAACTGAGTTCCCCCGTGAAGGTTGTAGCACTTACCTCTCCTGTGACTCAGCTGCAGACACTCAGGAACAGAAATACATAGACAATTCTGGAGAGAAGCTGAGAAAGGCACAGTGCTGGCAAACACTGATCCTTGCTCTTTCAGCTTTCTCAGTGCAAACTAGAGCTACAACTAAATGTCTGTTGTCTCAATCATAACATTTGGGAAAATGTACAGCGCTCTTTGGGGAGGAAGCATCACTGAATTCCACCCAATTCTTGCTCTACAGAAGAGGGTGTAAAATGTTGAGGGATATGACAACTAGCAGCTTAACAATGAACAATGTGAGATATCAGGTACATCTGCCCTTTATGAGACTATGGTTATCAATTCACAGAGATAAGAAGACAAAGTAATGATGAACCTCCTCAAAGAATTAACAAAGACTTGCTGCAGCTTGGTTCTGGTGAATAAAAGCTGGTAAATGCTCTCTTCAGTTAATCTGTTCATAACAATGCTGATTGTTGCTTCATCCGCTCTGTTTCACTCTCCCAAAATTGGTCCACACAGTCCTCAGCAGTACAGTCTGTGAAACTTTCAGCAAGCACATCTGGTGTCTGTGAGAAAGCAACCCAGGGAGTTGTAAGCCTGTTCAAAGGTACACTTTTAGGACAATAGGAGAAGCAGAGGCAGCTTTTCTCACTGTGTCTTTTGCAGCAATAAGTTAGATGCAGCAGTCTCATGTCACCTATTTTTCTCTGCACAGAAATGGTTTCCATCACAACTGAAAATGTTACGCAACTGTACAACATGACCACCCAGGAGATCACAGTCAGTCCAGCAGATTTCCACAATAATTCAGGCGTGGATCAGATAAATCCATCTGAATGTGTTAATGAAGATTTAGAGAGATGGCTACATGAATATCAGCCTGGATTCCTCTGGTTTATATTTATTCTGGGAGCAATAGAAAATTCCTTTGTCCTCACTGTACTGTGTTTCCACAAGAGTAGCTGTACAGTGGCTGAAATTTACCTAGCAAACATGGCTCTTGCTGACCTAATGTTGGTCTGTGTTTTACCTTTCTGGGCCATTAATATTTCTAATAAATTTGAATGGACTTTTGGCCTGTTTCTCTGTAAAGCTGTCAACATTATGAGTTACATGAACTTTTATTCTAGCATTTATTTCCTGACACTCGTGAGCATTGACCGCTACCTGGCCTTGGTGAAAACCATGTCCCTTGGACGGATGCGACGAACGGTCTGTGCCAAATGGAATAGCTTTGTAATCTGGACGTGTGCGTTGCTCATATGTTCACCTACAATGGCGTTTCGAAATTTACGGTATTTTGAAGAATACAACATCACAGCCTGTGCCCTTGTTTACCCAGCCAGCTACTGGGAGCCTGCAAACAACAGCTTGTTGAATATTGTGGGTTTCTTGATCCCACTCTGTGTAATTACCTATTGCACTATACAAATCATCAAAGCCTTACGCAGCAGTGAGCTACAAAAAATGAAGGTAGTCCAGACAGAGAGGAGAGCCACCATGCTGGTCCTTACTGTGCTCTTGTTGTTCATCATTTGCTGGCTTCCATTCCAGATCAGCACATTCATTGACACAATCCGTTACTTCGCACCCACGCTCAAATGCCTGGAAAACATCAATGAAATGCTGACTCAGATAGCTGTTTACTGTGCCTTTAGCAACAGCTGCCTGAACCCAGTCCTCTATGTAATTGTGGGGAAGCACTTCCAGAAGAAGGCTGTGGAATTCTACAAGGGCTTGATCCCGAAGAGGTTCAGAAAATCACAGTCTGTGCAGATGGAAAACTCCCTGGACACTTTAAGAACTTCCATTTCAAGTGTATACCCAAGGAAAAAGTCTGTTTTGCCGTTACCCCGATAGCAAAATTTTAGGAAATTATTACAAGAAGAAAGCCTTCTAAACACATCAGTCTCCACTAATATCTGTCTGCTACCGATCCACAGAATAAACATGTGGTAGAGTTCATCATGTGTGGGAAATGAACAGTGTGATCTTAATAGTAACTCCATGCAGAGATCTGCTTCTAATGTTGTTGGACATTTTCCATGATTGAATCCTATTTGGTAGCTTACTTACATTTTCATGGCTGAATAATATTTGGTGCATGTATCATTTGGAATGTTTGCATTTCTAAGGTGTACATACATGTACATACAGTTCTCTGAACAGAACCCCGGCTGTTGTCAGGATTGTGCAGCTACTTATGGTACCCATACAGTGTGTTAGATTAGATTTTCAGTCTGGGAGGGGCTTGCATTTGAGTAAGTTCTGGTAAGTGAATCCCTTAGGGTTATTATTCATATGGATTTTTAGGTGTGTTTGTCTTCTGGGCTTTTAATTTCTCTCATCAGTCATCCAAAACTATTTAATTGTTTGATTGACAAAAGGTGCCTTTTTGCAACTGCTCCTGTTAGTCATCTGAGCAAGTTTGTATGGCAAGTAGCTCAAGAAAAGGTAAAGCAGTAGTGGAAGGAAAGCTGTAGCCAGCTGCATGAAGTTAGCTGAGTTTTCTTTATAACAGGAGATCCTTCACCCCTTCTACCTTGGGGTGAATGCAGGAATGTTATTTACATTCATACCTACACTTTAGCTCAGAGACTTTTTTAGTATTCACAAAGCATAACTTTAAATGTTATTTATTGTAAATATAAAAGCTCAGCACAGCAGGTATAATCTCACAAGCAGAAAAAATTGAGAATATGAAGGAGAGCACCACTTAACTACATTAGAAATCTGACTGAAAATAACAGGAGTCTCCAAAGTTCAGAGTATTCAAGAATGGCCTTTTCAGACTCTAATAATACCTATATTTTATTTGTAGAGTTAATCTGTGAGATTTTAATACAAGATAATTTTTCCCCAATTGGACAGGATTCTTGATCTAAGGTGAGTTTCACAGAATCACAGAATATGCTGAGTTGAAGGGACCCACAAGGATCATCAAGTCCAACCTTTCGCCCTGCACAGGACGTGTGCCTGAGAGCATCCTACAAATGCCTCTTGAACTCTATCAGGTTTGGTGCATGAGACCATTTCCCTGGGGAGCCTGCTCCAGTGCCCAGTCACCCTCTGGATGAAGAACCTTTTTCTAATATCCAACCTAAACCTCCCCTGACACAACTTCAGGCCCTTCCCTCTGGTCCTGTCACTGATCACCACAGAAAAGAGATCAGTGCCTCCCCCTCCTCTTCCCCTCATGAGGAAGTTGTGGACTGCAACAAGGTCTCCCTCAGTCTCCTCTTCTCCAGGCTGAACAGACCAAGTGACTTCAGCTGCTCCTCACACAACTTCCCCTCATGGCCCTTCAGCATCTTCATTGCCCTCCTTTGGACACTCTCTAATGGCTTAATATCTTTTCTTATATTGTGGCACCCAAACCTGCACACAATATTCAAGGTGAGGCCACACCAGTGCAGAGCAGAGCACCTTCCCCTTCCTCGACCACCTGGTGATGCTCTGCCTGATGCCCTCCAGGACACAGTTGGCCCACCTGGCTGCCAGGGCACTGTTGACTCATATTCAACTCGCCATCGACCAGGACCCCCAGGTCCCTTTCCACAGCACTGCTTTCCAGCATCTCATTCCCCATACTGAAATCCAAAAAGATTACATCAGCAGGCTTCCCTTGATCAGCTAGGTGGGTTGCCTTGTCATAAAAGGAAATCAGGTTTGATAAGTACACAGAGGATAAACTCAAAGTGTACTGAATTGTCTGTATACACTTTTACTTCTAGGAACTTTGGTCAAAACTGAATTGGAGATGATCTAATATCTTCTGAAACTAACAGAGCCTTTGTTCTTTTCAAAGCACTTAAGGTTAAAGCCTTTAAAGTCACCGAGGGAAATGGTGGCATAAGTAAACTTGACTGTAACTATGAGATCTTTATTCATCAGAGCCATTTAAGATGGGAAATTCATATGAAGCCTTCAAATAACTAAACCAAAAAAAACTCTAGAAGCATCCTGATGCAATATAAAGACTATCGGATTTAAATCACTGTAGATGATTTGTAAGAAATTCCCATAGTTTTTCTTTAATAATCCAGTATAATCCTTTGTCATAAAGACTCCCATTGCTCATTCTTTATATTGCCTGAGACAACTGGAGAAAACTATGATGAAACACTGCAAGGCTTTCTGTTACCTCCAGTGTTATCATTCTGTCTCATTCGTGACCACGCTGTTTAGGCAACCATTAACTGAAAGGAACTCCATACAGAGATTATTGAGGCAATGGAATATATTTCTGAGTATTTGGTACTGAGAAGTAAAATCAAACAATGTTATTATATTAGTATCACATTAATTTAAATAATGTATATATAGACACACTATTTTGCTATGCAGCAAGTATGTACAACAGAAAATAAACTACTTCAAGAAATGAGATTTCCTGGCATTTTCTTCTCTATCCTGTATCCTTTTACTAAGGACTGTTTCTCAGAAGTCCAAGTGTTGCAGTTATTTTCTTTCACTTCACATTATACCAAAGGAAATTCATCTGAAACAACAGAATTTTAACTACTTTGAAATCTTTGGGTCAGCTTCCTTTTCAGGGCCCATTTCTGAGTGGTGCTGACCACCCTCAGTCCTTTTGGAAGGATATCAACAGCCGGTGGATCTTTCTGGCCTGCAGTAGGTACAGTAGGGAATAATTCTCATCTTTCCAATCTCTCTTTTTTTCAGGTTGATTATTGGCTTCACCTGAAATGCAAAATTAACAGCTTAAAAGCTGTTACACAAGCAACTGGTACTTGCTGCTGACAGGACAGGTTTGCTTTTGTTTTAAGCAGGGTTTCAGCAGAGAAGTCAGGATCTCAGTTCAGGACTGTCAGATCCCCAGCCAATCTTTAGCCATTGAATTATCCTTTCACTCCAATTGTTCCATCAGTACTTTCCAGGCTACACTGGCTCCTTCCATATGTTGCTATTTCAGCCTCTGTAAACTGTAGTGAGTAGCGTTTGATTATTACACACTGTAATAATACTGTGATAGTACCAGGATCATTCATTAGGCACTGTAAATAACTGCACCAGAGTTTAAGCTATCCTTAGCAATCACTTTAGTACATGTGAAGTAATCCAACCAAGTTAACTATAGAGTTTCACATCACAAGGTGACATCAAAAACCTTTTGTCCTTTTCCAGAACAGATGATCAGTTACACAGATACAAAGTTGATTTGAAAACCATTTCAAAAAAAAAAAAAAAAACAAACCTGTTAAGTCATACTGTTCTGAAAAGATAGTTTATTCCAATCATTAAAGGCTCGATCTATGTTAAAAGAAAGATTTTTAAGGTTGAACTGTTGGACCAAAGAGCGAGAACTCTGGAAGCCTTTTGGATTTCTGCCACTTCTCTACATGTAATGTGTGCAATAGTCAAGCAATCTTACCTCCTACTTCATCAACATGTTTCTTTAATCTTTCTGATCAGAGAGTCTCAGTTCACATTTGTAAATTCCTATGCAGCTCTGGAGAATGTGTTCTTTCAGATAGGGGAACTGAAGATCATGCAAGCTTAAAACATAAACTAATGTTCTGTGAGTATCCCAAGCTGAAGGTGCTAACAGACCAATATATCTCTGCAGTAAAAAACATGTAACTGTTGACTCTTATAGATGTTTTTAAACTAATTGTTCACATTCGTTGAATTCATGATCCATTATATCTGTGCAAACTGTAAAATGTCATTATATACTTTCTACATGTTTAAATGAACAATGAAGTTGCAAAGAAACAATAAATTAAACCTTCTTTTTGTATAAAGTTACAGCTTCTTATGTAGACTTTTTCTAAGTAGTTTGAATGGGGAGCTATACAGTGCCTATTCATTTTACTATTTGCACAAAATGCGTAGACTTCCAATTTTGAATCTTTAAATCTCTCTCCGCTACTGAAAAAAGTTCCAAATATGGGAATGAAAAACAGCAGAAGATAAGAAACTGGATTTACAAAGAGGAGTCAGATTTGCAAACCAATATTTTGGTTCCGTTTTCATTTGATGAGCTTTGTAAGACTATGTCATTTATCATATAAATTTTAGACACAGCTGCAGTTTTGTATTCAGTCTGTGAGTAAATGTGGAACTTGGCAGCTCCTAGAGATTCACGTCCAAGCAAGGATGAATTCCAAACTTCTTTTTATTGCTCAAATGTTCGTCTTTATGGAAAAAATAACTTAAACACAGAAATGCATCAGCGTAAGCAAAGAGGAAGCTTTGGAAAGTTTGTGACGAAGTTCTGCTGTCCCATTGCACTCACCTTTATGAGTCACTTATGGGATGGTTTTTCTGAGATTGTCCTCCCATGAGTTTTTAGGATTCCTTATGTAACTTAAATTTTACATTATTTAAAAAATGTTGTGTTTAAGGTCTTCACAAAACACGTGTTTTGAAAAGGATATTTCAAAAAAGTCATTTTGGCAGAAATGAAGCATATAGCTTCATTTGAGATGAATTTTTAAACTGTTTCATTTATTTAAAAAAAAAAAGTAACTTTTTTAACATGGTAGTGTTTAAATAAAAGAAATACTTATACATTTAAAATCTTCAAATTAAACCTTGGGCCATTCAGAGTTTTCCCATGGTGATGGTATTAACTGGAACGGCTTTTTTAATTTATCAATTTTATCAGAGTTTGCATAAATCTAACTTATTACCTGTTAATGAATAAAAGGTTGGAATAAAAGTATTTATCATGATAGGGAAGTTCATAATAAGGTATCACCATTTTGCATCTCATGCTTTTTCATTTTAACTCTTTAACACTTATCAAACAAGAAAGGACCCAGTTGAAAGAATTGAGAGAGATGGTGTATGTGTTAGTTAAGCAGCCAAGGGGAGGAAAGTTTTCCTGTAAGGAAAAAGTATTCCAGTCTCACTGTTTTTTTAAAATACTTGAGAAGCCTGTATTGTTTACACAGATATACTTAAGAGAGATTTGTATTTAAAATCTGAGATGCAATAGGTATTATCTTTTTAAAATACTGCTCTAATCAGTGGACAATCAAAATCAAAAAGATAAAAATATTTATAAACCACCAATCTAAGGCTACGAGGTCCCAGTAGGTAATGAGAAAAAAAAAAAAAAAAAGCTTATTTATGGGTGTAAGCCTGAGAAAATACAGCAGTCATTGTGCACTGCTCAGAAGAAATATTCACAGAGACTCATGCAGGGGACACCTATAGTGGGGCAAAAGACAATGCTTTTCAAGAAGAGTGGAAATGGGATTTAGCAGGTCTGTGTTTCAGCAGCTGTTCCTATATATCTGTGCTGCTTTACCCCAGCCCTTTGGCATGGTTGCTCACAAAGGCTAGCAGGAAAAGGAGCTCCCACCACAACAAAACCCTAGCTCTGAGTTTGTCCTTGTGTGCATTGGCACTGAGAGAACAGTTCAGAGTTGTTGATGAAATCATTATTGTTACGGACATGGTTAATCATACAAAGGAACTTTCGATTGCCAAGGACCCATACTTGAAAGCACAGGACGACAAGAGTCATGACATATGGCTTGTATGATTTCACAATGAGAATGAAATATTTCACATGCCTTGAAAATTACTACAGCTGACATTTGGAGAAGTTAAAAAAAAAAAAAAAATCCTGGGGCTTTCTTCCAAAGTGTAACATCACACACATCGTGCATGGCCAACAAAACTCTCAGCCACCACTCAGTCACTCAGTCGTGCCTCAGGATGCATCTTTGAATTCTCTCAGTAACCTCTGTACTGCTGCTTACCGACTGTTTCTGGATTTGAAACTTTGTCTAAATTGCCAGGAAGAACAAGGAGTAGGTATGTCTATATTTTTTTTAATGCCTTGTTTTTATTAAAATCATTTATATGTTTTATTTTAAAAAACAAATTTTTGTGCTCTCAGTTCTGACCTGTGAGGTCTAGTAAGACTTTCCCTTTCTTTTTAACCATGAAAGTAACTCTGAAGGTCAGAATTAGTTTATGTGTAAAACAAAGATTCATTTTACTGAATTACCATAACTGAGTAATGAGAATTACTGGTAAAAATACTGATAGATTCACTGTAAATGAAATTCATCACATATCAGCTCAAAGTAAGAAAAGTATGTCATTATTTGTACAAAAGATGACTGGAATGTGTTAAGTACCTAAATTGAAAACCATTCTTGTCGCTAATTGTCCATTAGCACTGAATATTTAAAAATACTTAGAAAAGAAAATTGTCTTTGAGGAAGAAATAAAATTAAACAACTGAAAATAAATTGCATTTTCTGTCAAGAGGACATCTGGAGCTCTGAATTTGTAGGAGGTTTGCTGTAGCACTCGGACGCTGACTAGTAAACTGAAGAAATTTTCACAATGATGAACTCTGCAGAATCTTCAGGTACAATTGCTATGTGAACAAGAATTCAGACTTAGTTGTTACTAAACTCTATTTGCAATGGAAAATAAATGTTCCTAGTGTTTTTGGTTTACCCTCTCATGAACAAATTTGTGACTCCAGCCCAGCGATCACATCTGAGGTAACTGGTATAAGCTGACAGCAAGAAATCATCAGGAAATGGGGAAGGGCAAGGACAATAAGCAGTTCTTTTTCCTCTATATTTAGTAGAAGAAATAATTCTGATTATGTTTAACTGTTATCTTTCTTTTAAGTAATTTTTGACATATAATGTTAGAGATTTTCTGCTGTTGCTCTCATGCCTTAGGCTATAATAAGGTTAGATTACTGCTGTCTCACAAATAGCCGTTTTGATGCTAATTAGCCACTTATTTGCTAAATATATCTCATCTATAGTTTTAGATCCTCTCCAATTATCTTAGTTTGCATAAGACTGTCTGCAAACTAGGTAATATTCAGACTGTTGTGAGGGAAGATGTTCAAATCCAGAGAGCTGTTTTAACTCAGGCAGTAGCTCAGTTCCCTGCCAATATTGTCAGCTTGAGTGAGTTTATGAACTCAGATACAACTTAGCTGCTCTCTTAATTCTGCAGTGGTGAAAAATGTTTTGTACATTGGTACTAAATAACATGATGTGGAGTATTAGTACTTAACTAATTCCTAGAGGTGTCACAGAGAGAGAAGTATTGCAAGCTGCTCAGGTATAGACATAACTGAGACTGTATGTATATGTAAAAGAGATGAACCATGGTCCTAAATGCTGTTTTCAGAAACTCCATCCTTAGCTGTGCAAAAATACAGAAACTGAAAGAGCAGAGTTAGATAGCTGCAGCAGAAAGTTAACATTCACAATGACTGATAGCAAAATATTGATTTTTTTCAAATACATTCCTTTTTATGTTTGACATGCTCTACTTGCCTGAAGTGTTAGATGACACCACAGGCTCAGTGATATCTTGCATGCCATAATGATTCTGAGACTGAATACCCACAAAAAACAAGATACAGGCACTATGGTCAAGCATGGCAATACCAGAAGAATGAAGTCAGCTCTGACAACTCAGCGGATTTTCATGAGAGGATAACGTTTTACCTGTGCTCTCACTCATGCACAATCTCACACGGAGTTACCAGAGAGAACTATGTCCAGTTCTGGGCCCCTCAGCTCAGGAAGGATATTGAGGTGCTGGAGCAGGTCCAGAGAAGAGCAAACAGGCTGGTGAAGGGACTCGAGCACAAGTCCTATGAGGAGAGGCTGAGGGAACTGGGATTGTTTAGCCTAGAGAAGAGAAGGCTCAGGGAAGACCTCATCAGTCTCTACAACTACCTTAAGGGAGGTTGTAGCCAGGTGGGGGTTGGTCTCTTCTCCCAGGCAATCAGCAGTAGGACAAGAGGGCAAGGTCTTAAGCTCTGCCAGGGGAGGTTTAGGTTGGATATTAGGGAGAAATTTTTTTACAAAGAGAGCAATCAGACATTGGAATGGGCTGCCCAGGGAGGTGGCTTCACTGTCCCTGGAGGTTTTTGGGATGAGACTGGATGTGGCACTGAGTGCCATGGTCTGGTAACCACGACAGGGTTGGATCAAGGGTTGGACTTGATGATCTCTGAGGTCTTTTCCAACCCAGTTTATTCTATGATTCTATGATTCTAAATAAAGGTATTGCCAATGCTATGCAGGTCTAAACGCTTGGGAGGATGGGACAGCCTCTCTCCAGCTGAATTCAATGAAGTTTTTGAACTGGAGAAGAGTAAATTTAGAGTTGCAGAGAGTTTTCCTTCAGGCAAGATTTTGAGCATAAGATTTTGGAGGAGTTATGTTTTATTATTCAAACTGCTGACATTTGAGGGCAATAAGCTGTCTAGTCTAACAACAATTTTGAACCCAAAGTTCAGGATGAGAGAAACTGAGAAAGAGCAAAAGAATGCAAAGTTCAAATAACAAGTGATGCACACAGAGAGTGAGCAGCTTTTTCAGTTCTGGAGAAACAGGCATCATCCTACTTAAGCAGGATGATAGAATATAATAATATATTAATATATACAATAGGTATATATAATAGTATATATAGCATGGTAAATAAGAGTAAGAGAAAGGGCAGGGAAGGGTGCAAAGCTGGCTTTGTGTCACCAGCTTGACTCCCTCTGCTCTCAGGGAGATGGAATTCTCCCATATCTGTTTCTGTCATCAGTCTGGAAGAGACATACAGAAGTACTTACACTAACTTGATACTTTCCTTCCGCTGTACCATTTTAAACAACAGAAGCAAGGAGAGGAAATTCCATAGGATGCAGAGTAAGTTACATCCTTGCTAATACTGTAAACATTTCTCACTGTTGCACATAACAAGTATGGATTGATCTAGCCTATAATAATCAGTGAGGACTAATAAAGAATTTCCAGCAGTTAAATGTTTGTTACACCTCTCATGGGAGACAACTTTTGCAATTTTATGCTTCTTCTTTGCAGTCATTTTCTCTCACTTGAAAGACATCTCCCGTTCACTTCGGAATTTTTTAAAAAATGACTGAAACTCCTCTACTGAATATTCCCTCCTCAAACCAGAGTGAAAACAGAAGCAACTCAACTATTTGCCCAGAGGAGGAAGACTGGTGGGACATCGTGTACTACATACTACCCAAGTACCTCAACACTGTCTGTGCTATTGGAATGCTTGGAAATATATTTGTTCTCTTCATTTATTCACTGCACAAGGGCCCTCTGAAGATAGCTGAAATCTACCTTATGAACCTAGCTGTTGCTGATCTCATCTTCCTCATGGGCCTCCCTTTCTGGGCAGAGAACATCAGGAATGAATTCAACTGGCCGTTTGGCAGTTTCGCTTGCCGCAGCAACAGTGCGTCCATCAGCCTGAACATGTACACCAGCATCTACTTGCTGGTGGCCGTCAGCGTGGATCGCTACTGGACTCTTGTGCATACCTTGAACCACAGAGGGATACGGAGCAAAGCTGTTGCCAAAGGGATCTGCTTGCTCATCTGGTTCTTTGGCATCCTCCTCAGCATCCCAGTTTTTATGTTTCGGACTGTGAAAGACTACCCCCAGTGGAATATTTCAGCATGCACTTTGGACTTCCCCACCCCAGCATGGGAAATAGCTCAAAGCCTGGTACTCAACATAGTGGGATTTGTGTTGCCATCTACAGCGATCATCTTCCTTAATTTCTCTACCATTAGGTCCCTACAAAAAAAAGCAAGAGTACGAAGAGCACTCAGGACAAAGGACTGCAAGGGGCGAAAAGGCACAAAAGCTACCAGGCTGATCTTCACAGTTGTATTGACATTTCTTTTCTGTTGGGCTCCTCACCATTTTTTTGTATTCCTTGATATATTACACGATACAGAAGTGATCAAAGGCTGCTTCTGGGAAGAACTGATCAATTTTGGGGAGCAGTTTGCTTATATGTTGGCTACCACCAACAGCTGCATTAACCCTGTGATTTACGTCTTTGTTGGGAAATACTTCAGGCAAAAGGCTTTAGAAGTTTTTTCACAGTTTATTCCCTGTGGATTTTCTTTGAAATGGGTATCTTTAAAAGAAATGTCATCAAATTTCAAAGTGTTTCCAGTCAGGAGTAGTTTAACCTAATGGTTATTGTCTCCATCTTCATTTTTGTATTATAACTTATTTAATGCCATTGTAAATGACATTAAAAATTAATATGAATTGCACTGAACTGCCATTCGCAGACTACGATAATTATCTACTAAAGTAACTCACTTGATTGCTTATTTGTTCTCAGGTTTACTTTTTTGTATCTGTGTTATCCATCCAAATGCATAAAGTGATACCGGAATTTTATACCAAAATCTGTTGTACCAATTACCAGTGGCTTGAAAGAAAAACTGTTGGACAAGATACCAGAAAATATTACAGAAAACCATAAGCCAGCTGAACATTTTTCTTCATTGTATCTGTGATGACAGCTATTATACCACCTAAAACACCGTTCATAAAATTGCAACAGGTGTTACAGAGCAAATACAAGCTTAATCTTTAGCTGATAATTGCATTTGACCAATTATAGAATAGCTCCAGTTATTTTGAACAATATTTTAACTGGTTTGCATTTTCACAGTAACATACGGAAAATCTGAATATTTTTTTGTGCATTTCAATTACATTCAGCACATAAATATTATAAACGATGATTTTTTACAAAGAAATTATACATAAGCTGTAAAAAAGCAATGTAACACAGTAGCCTCCTCAAAATCTGACTTTTTTTGATCTGGTAAAATGTTACACAATTGCTCCTCAAGTGCATAAAGATTCTTTCTATTTTTTATGTGTGAAAATATCTGTGATTGCCATTGATAATCTATTGATTTAGAATATCTTTCATCTGAGGCAAATCCTTAGAGACATATTTATATTTTTATGAATAAAAATTAATAAACTGTGTAACATCTCATTTTTTATCATAGTTTTTTTTCTTTCTTATATTTTATTTTTGTATTTTGTTTCTTTTCCCTGTTTCTCTGGGGAAGAGCAAATATATAGTTCTGTGATTAAAAATCCTTATTGCTACCAAAATACAGACTCTGGTAGTAGAAGAAAACTTCTCTTCCATCACAGCCAAAATTGCAGAGTAGACTTAAGGCAACTGAGATATCTGTTTCTACAGAAGTATGTGTATGTACAAATGTGAAAAAAATATAGTGCAGCCTGTTCATCCATAAAGATATTGAGAGCAGAAAGGAGCAAATTTATTTTATAACAATTTGTATAACAATTCATTTCATTAGTCATTATAAAGTCTGTTTAGTCTTGTACTTACTGTAACAGCACTGCATTTTCTGCAGTTCTTTTTAGTGTTGCCATTTTGAATATGGAAATAATCTCATATTTGATTGTAGAAATCTGCCTGTTCAACTTCATTGCATTAAGATTAGTGTTAAAATTTAATGATTCTCTCAAACGTTTTGAATTTGAACAGAGGAGGCCTTTTGAAGACTTAAAAGTCTATCGTTCTTCAATGATGGTTTAAGAATTAAGGGTGGATTAAGGTATCAGGAGGAAGAATCACTCATAGCTTTACTAGTTTCACTCCTTCTGTAACAGGTGCTTTTAAAATAAATACAAGGATTAGACACCAGCAGTAACAACTGCATGTGAAGTCCCCTGAGTCATCTGAGATCAAATCCTCATTCCTATTTATTGTAAACTGTTGAACACTGTATTTATTTAATACATCCCTAGCTGAATCCTTAATAAGTAAAAAACTTTCAAGTAGAGATATTTTCTGAGGAGAAAAAAGACAAAAGAAAAGACAAAAAAAAAGGTAAAGAATAAAATAACCTGAAATCATGAAAAAGAAGGGTAGAAACAGAAGTGCCATTTTCCCACTGTGGATGAGGACCTTAAAAGGGAAAAATATTTTGCCTTGTCTGACTAACACTAGTCCATGTTATGTAATGTACACAAATAAAGGGAAAAACACTTCTTGAGTGCTGTGGTATATTTAGGGTATGAGCTAATAGATTGAAAATCAGTCTGAAATCTGAATTTAATGGAAAACCTCTTGTTTCCTGCAGTGGGCAAGCAATGAGGGCTTTCCTGAAAGTCCTGCCCTTTTACATATACACAACTGTCAGGACAAGCATCTGTAGTTTAAATACTGCTTAAAGCCACTTAAAAGGGTCTTGCAAATCAATGGATTTACCCTCCAATACGAATATATGTAAATGTATGCATTCCTGACTGTATATTAGGGTCTACTGCTCAATAGTGGCACTTTACCCTTTCACTGCTTGCTGTACTGCTCACTGTGCTGTGCCTGGGAACATTTCAATACCAGCCCCGGTGATGCTCCTGGGCTGGCAGGTGACCAGACACTGCTGTGTCTGTCCTGCTGGACTGCACAGGGTGGAACTCCGGCGTGAACTTGAGTTGAACGGCTGCGACATACGGATGAGTCCATAATGGAGCAGAAATCCACCTGTAGCCTGTGGAAGACCACAAACCAGAGCAGGTGGGTGCCCGAAGGAGGACATGACCCCCTGAGAAGCCCATGCTGGAGCAGGTTTGCTGGCAGGACCTGTGACCCCACAGGGGAGCCATACTGGGGCAGTTTGTGAAGCACTGAAGTCCATGGGAAGGATCCAGGTTGGAAAAGTTCAAGGAGGACTATCTTTCATGGGTGGAATTCCCATGCTGGAGCAGGGGAAGCAAAGATTCCCTTGCAGCCTTCGGTGCAGACCATGATGAAGCAGGATGTCCTCTTGCAGCCCATGGAGGACTGCGATGTGACTGTACTAATTGTGGATTTTAGCACGTAACCCTTATTGCAGCCAGGCTGGGAACAATGTTAAATCTATAACCTGGCACAAAAGGATCTGTGTTGGAGATTGTAATTAATGTGTCTTTAAATTGTGGTAACCCATGATTTGAGTTGCATGTTACAGGAATTGCTATTGCAGAAATCACCCAAACTAATGGAGGAGAAGCCTTAAAAAAGAAGTATAAGCACATCAGTGACCAGACCTGAGGTGACTTTGGTGCCCAGTAACTCCAAGAAATACAACACCTCTCCTGTCTTGAGTGACCACTATAACTGATGGAGTCCAAAGTCATGGACTGCATGAAGTCAAAGGACATTTTGTGAATATTTGTGGCCATTTTATGGACATTTTCAGGGATGGTCTATTGATTAAAGAAATTACATCTGTGTATTATATCAAAGAATGGGAATAAGTGTGGTGGTTAATGAAGTTGGAATTGAATAGTTTGGGACCTAGGCATGATGTAAATAGTATGGAATAGGTGGAATGTGCTGGTTTGGGCTGAAGTAGAGCTAGTTTTTTCCACAGTGGATGATGTGGGGTTGTGTTTTGGATTTGTGCTGAACATACTGATGATAATATAGAGATTTTTTTGCTGTTGCTGGGCAGGGTTTGCTTAGACCCAAGGCCTCTTCTGCTTCTCATACTGCCACATTGGCAAGACAGTTGGGGATGCATGGGAAGTTGGGAGGAGACACGGACAGGGCAGGTGACCCAAACGGACCAAAGGGATATTCCAGACCATATGACATCATGTTCAGTATAGAAAGTGGGAGGAAGAATGGTGAAGCAGCAGGGGAGGGAGACATTTGGAGTGATAGTGTTTGTCTTCCCAAGTATCCATTACATGTGAGGGGGCCCTGCTGTCCTGGAGGTGGCTGAACACCTGCCTGCCCATGGGAAGCTGTGAATTAATTCCTTATTTTGCTTTGATTGTGTGTACAGCTTTTGCTTTCTCTATTAAACTGTCTTTATCTCAACCTGTGTGTTTTCGAGCTTTTATCCTTCCAATTCTCTCCCTGATCCCACTGATGGGGGACTGGGGGAGTGGCTGCATGGGGCCTGGCTGCTGGCTGGGATTACACCACAACAAACAACCCAGCAGCGCTGTGTCGTTTCTGCCTTGAAGGTGTGTACGTGCAAGCAGGGAGTGAACTTAAATTGCAGCAAGGAAAGTTCAGGATAAATATTAACAAAAACATTCTGGTAAAGCTGGTGACAGGCTGCCTTGGAGAGAACCCAGCATGGGTTGTTCTTCTGAATAAGCATCCTTTTTACCTTCTCTTCTGTTACTTCTCACACTCCTGATAAACATTGTCAAGCATTAATCATTAAAAAACTTCTCTGCTGCAATACCAATCTTTTATAGTTGAGATACCAGCATCCTAAGAGCTTGCAAGTACAATGTAACTTGTTCTCCTCATCCATCTATATTGAATTTGTGTATTTTATATTTTAATAATAATTTCTCTAGGGTAAGGATTATCTTTTTTTATCTGTTCAGGTCATGCTTAACACCCAGCCTTTAGTTTATAATAGAACCCTCCTAACCCTAGAGCAATAAAGCAACATTTAGGATTCACTGAAACCCATCTTAAGGAATAGCACAGCCTGGATTTACATTTGTAATATCAAAACATTTTGACAAGCCATTTCAGTTTTACCAACTTTAACTGTAAATGTAGACAGTTCTCAGATTCCACCTTTAACAACAACAAGAACAACAGAAAACACCACCAAACTGAGCTGACTGATTTTTAAAACTGAAACTGGAAAAAAAGGCACTGATCACTATATATAAAGACAGATGCTTTTTCAGAGATTTACAGCCATGTGAGCTTCTAGCCTGCCAGGAGTCATCTTCCTGGGAAGAGAACTGTTTGTCGTGCCTGTTAAAATTGCACCATACCAAGTAAAAGTGTTGAGCCTTGGATGGAAGAAAGCAATTTGCTCACAGTACAGATGTGCTGGAGCTTTCATCAGCCAGATCCTCACATTGATGCTTAAACCCCCTGTAGTCACCTGTGACAGAGTTTCACAAGAGACCTGGTCACAGAGCAACCCAATTCACTGCCCATGGGTCCTGTGGGTCAAGGGCTGTGGATATCAAAGAAGCTGCTGGTTCACTGTCCCAGTTTTCTTCTTGGTGCACTCCCAGCAGCAGGAAAGGAATAAGTGACAAAAGCTGTGCCAAGATGGCAGGACCAGAATCAGACTGGGGAAATGGGACTATGTCTGGAGTTTAGCAGTGAACAGAGAAATATCTGATTGGAGACTGGGAGTCAAGAAACAGAAGAAAAGGCT